TAGATTCTACTAGAAATTTTAATTTTTAATTTTATTTTTTAGTATACTATGATGGATTGTATTTTTTATTTCTATCAACACTAAAACTGCTGTTAAAAAATTCATCTAATCTAGTTAAATAATATTAGGTGAATAAATGAAGTTTAAAGAAGTATCAATTTATCAAATTATGCTCATTTTGTAAACATTTTGGAAACAATATTACTATATTCAACTGAAGAAAGGTTCTGAGATTTTTTCGTCCTCAAAGTCACAAAATGTTGGAATTTGATTTGAGTACGATTGTTGTATAGAGAATCCGTTCTATCTCACTTTATTGATCATTGGTTTCGAAGTAAATACTTCATCACCTAAAATGAAAAGTCATGTAGTCAATGTATTGAAAGTTAATAGAAATTTACCTTATAAGCCCGTTACCTAAATTTTTACATGCGAGCACGTAGAGATCAGGTAAAGGGCGTGCATCGTACATAATTTTATGATATACTGTAATTAACTACGTTTTACAACCTAAAATATAGTACGTATATAAAGTATGGCATATGGCCCACAGCACAATAAAGTCGTTATTACTCTCTATCACAGCTCAAAGCTGTGTCTCTATTATTACAAAATAGCCTGCGAAAAAATTGAAAATTCTAAACAAAAAGCAAAATTACGTTTCTATAGAAATATTTCCCCAGGTTCGCCCCAATATAAAGCTGGTTATAAACTGTATGTAAAACAGTCACAAGTAACGAACAAATTAAGTAACAAATGTAAGCGACACCTCGAGCTTTTTAAAATCATCAAAATTTCGCAATTTGCTTAAATTTGGAAACAAAACAAAAAACCTAAGTTAGGTTTTGACCTTTTAAAATCGTATTATGAAATTTGTAATTTTTATTATAGATTTTTACTCCTCATTACGCCAATTGTCAATGCAAAATAGAACCAATCAATAACACTGTTGGAATGTTTCACCATGAAGAAACCTTAAAGATGTTTAATAATAAATTGACGGTACTTGTTTACAAGGGCAATACAACAATTACAACCATTGTAGACAGAAACAAATTTTTAAATAAAAAAAGAATAGATACGCGTTTATGTTGATATTAAACAGAGTTTTCATAGACAAAAGGGGTATTAGTCAATGATGTAGGGTATTGGAAATCCCTAACGGGAAATCTGGATACACCTGATGAAGAATATTTCAATTATTGTAGAGACAAATAAGTCACTATAGATGAATTTGAATTAGAAATTCTATTGAAAAACAAAATTACTTCTGTGATAAAAAGTTTTATTTAAACTATTCAGAAATTACAGATTCATGAAAACAACTTTTAACGAACATTTAAGAGATATTGAGACATCAATTTACGATATACAAATAAACATTTGAGAAACGCTATAGAAAGTATTAAGAATCCCCTATTGACTATCTTGTTAGACTTAAAATAATTCATTATTCATTACACCTAGGAATCTATTAACTTCCTTTTAGGAAATATTACAATCACCGTCAAAAAATAATGTACCTTTACTTACTAACCCATTCACCTATCATCTGTAGCACAGTACCTGAATATAAACAAGCTATTCGTATTAACAGATTCGAGAGTGGTTTTGGTTTTAAAAATCTTTCTTGAAGAACCTAATAGATATTTACGATATAAGTGCGGTATGAACATTATTAATATATGCATAAAATGTGTTACCGGCACGAATATTGTACAATATTTTATCTACAACTGTCATGTAACAACAACTCCGAAAATTCGAAATTATATTAAATAAAATTATGTCGGCATATCGTTAAAATTGACTATTTGCGAATACAAGTAACCTGTCAGTATTTTTTAACCATAGCAACGGAATTAATAATCAACTTCTGTCAAAGTGGCGTTTAAAATCGTAAAAATTCTGACTTAATGTCGCTCAAATAACCATTACAAGTACTTATATTATCAATTATGTCTTCAAGTGAAGATGATCTTCCACGAGATATTGAAAATGCAGCAACCGGCGTAATAGAAAATTTAGTACCACAGAAATCACGTGAGAGATATCATTTAACTTATGACAAATATGAGAAATGGTGTAAAAATAAGAAAATTTTAAATATTACAAATGAAAAAGCATTACTGGTATATTTCAACGAATTGAGTAAATTACAGAAGCCTACATCTCTTTGGTGTTACTACTCGATGTTGAGGACAGAATTGCTTATTAAACAAAATATCGATATCAAAAAACATATCAATTTGATAGCATTGTTAAAACGAAAATCAGAAGGGTACAAAGCTAAGAAATCTAAGGCATTTTCGAAAGAAGAAATAACTAAATTTATTGTAAATGCAGGAGATGAGAAATGTTTATGCATGAAGGTAATATATAATAGATATTTGTATAAATGTAAATAAATATTAATATAATATATATATATATATATATATATATATATATATATATATATTTTAAGGTTGTGCTAATTATTGGTTTCGCTGGTGCATGTCGGAGAGAAGAGTTGACAAATTTATTGATAGAAAATGTAAAATATCAAGGATTGTGCTATCAAATGTCATTCCAAATACCAAAACAAAAATATCGCGAGAATTTTTTGTTACATCTGGGAACATTGATGGTAATAATTTAGTTACAATTGTTAGAAAATACTTTACATTAAGATCTAAAAGTTGTGGCCATCAACGATTTTTGTTGGATACAGAGCAGGAAAATGTACAACACAACCTATTGAAATAAATAGTATTGGTAGTGTTCCAAGATTAATTGCCGAATTTCTTGAACTGCCCAATACAGAGCAGTATACAGGGCATTGTTTACGGCGTTCTTCAACTTCAATTTTAGCCGACTCTAGTGCAGATCTTCTAAATATTAAAAGACATGGCGGCTGGAAGTCTAATTCTGTCGCTGAAGGATATATTGAGACTTCGGCAGAAAATAAGAAAAAAGCAGCTATGAAAATCTTAGGAGAAAACCAAAAAAATATACCATCGACTTCAAAACATATGGAAACTAATATTTGCTAAACTAATATTATCGGGCATCGGGCATGTCTGCATCTGGCATGAATTTGTACGATTGCAAGGATTGTATTATAAATATCTATAACAAATAATTTTTTTATATTGAGTTCATTATTAATGCTATATTTGTTCTGTTTTGTTAAATAAATGATTAATTTTGATTAACTATTAGTTCCTCATCATTACCGCACTAGTGCCGTAATGATTTCATTATCACACTAGTGCGGTAATATACGTCATTACAAAATTTAAATAAGTGTCAAATCAGTGTCATTACATGACAGTTGTAGATAAAAGTTGTTTAATTTTCCGACTTTTTGCGATACCAATATTGGATAATTAAACAGGGATCTATTACTTATCATCAAAGAGTTGTCGCAAAACGACGATTTAATGGTTTCCAGCTTTACTCAACCTAGACCATTGCATGATACTTCGAATATGTTCCGATAACGTATCCTATCCGATAGATAGTAACTCGAATTGTAAAGCACCATTATTCTGACAACTACCAGTAATAGTTTTCGTACCGGACTACAATGTGCAAGAAGTAACCACCAATTAATGGCTAATTTCACTACGGATCCATTACCAATAACCATTTAAGGTATCAATAGAGACGCAGAGACAAAAATCATAAAAACCAATTCCAATTCGTCAGCAGTACAAGAGTACGTGCGAAATATTTTAGTTACCGAGTAAAAAAAACGTCACCAATATAGATCCTCTACGACTGCTGCAAATTTTTCCTGCAAAACATAACTTTCCAGAGCTAAAACTAGGTTTACTAAATAAATTGGACGTCGATGATCCTAATGTTGCCCAACACAAATTAAATCATTCCGAAGAATTTGACCAGATGATCAATTGAGTGTTCGTAAACCAACAAATGTCTTGGTTTAAGTATTTCACCATTACGTGTCTTGCAGGCGTAGAAGAAGACCAGGTTAATTAGTATCATGGCTTTCTCTGGTTCACCTCCTTCTCCTCCACCTGTACTTCTGCTGATGCAGAGGTGAGCAAACACCAGTTTATTTAAGGGATAAGTCAAGCTATTATCGTGGGCTTACAAGCAAAAGGCATTAAGTCAAAAAATTGGTTTATGAATTATAAGCAATTTAAAGTTTTAATAAAGTTCTAATTTTTTTATAAATTAGTTAGGGATTATTAACTGCTTTAAAGAAAATGTACATGCTTTTGGAATACAATGTTCTGTTTTTACATGAAATACAAAAATATAAACCCATTTTGACAAATTTTTGACCGAGTGCCTTTTGCTTGTAAGCCAACGTTTGATTTAGTTATTATACTCATTTCGTATACATAACACTTGTATTTGTTATTCAATATATTTAAACAAAGTTATTTATTAAAAAAATTAAAGTAGATCTATGCTAATACGTATGAATATTTTATAAAGTGGTAGTATGACTGGTTTAAGAAATAGTCATATTTATATGAACAAATGTTTTTAAAGACGTTGCAAATTAACCATACAGAATTGCTGTAAAACAATTTAATATGAGTTGAAATGTCACATGGAATAGTCGCATATCACATAAAGTTTATGTAACAATGTTATATTTATCGTGTAAACCATTTTTTAAATTTGCTTTGAAAAATAGGGCTTCTGTAATTTTTGGAACAACAAATTAAGAGTTCTAGTAACAGTGATATATTAACAATAAAATATAGCAGTTCTGTAAACTAAAACTTATAAGGAGACAAATAACAAACTTAAAAAATATTTGTCTAATTAACGATAACTACATTTGAGACGTTGCATCCAATTTTTCGCATAATAATTATAGATCTACTTTTTTAATTGGGTTTCTAAAGAACAAAAAATGATAACTAATTTAAATAACTATAAACGTTCTTCTTCTCAGATTTAAATAAAACTCTATACTAAATCATGAGCTTTCTTAAACTAACTCCATATGCAAAGCGTCACTGTAAAAGGCTTACCTTGATATGCTGCAGGAGTTTTTCAGCTTTGATACAAAATTCACCCTCGAACTTTTGCAGGCATCCATGATATTCACAGACCAGCACATCCCTGGCTTGCCTGACTAAACATTTTCTGGAATGTTCGTAATTCTTGTACAAACTTCCGAAATATTTGTCAACCAGGCCTTCTACGTCGCTTTTAATCTGAAACAAAGAACATTCATCACTGACATTACTTAGGGATGTATTTTAATGAATCGTTATGCAGTAGCACTAAATCTTAGCTAAAAATAGAAGAGTTATTAGTCGTTTTTATCGCAAGAATGAATTCCAAAATAAGTGGAATTTCTGTTAATAAAGAAGCATTTCATGATTTAATTTTATTAGTTTCGATAACAGACTTTTATTGTTTGTTGGATATGTATGAAAAACCAAATTGGGTATTTTGGCATTGTGACTTATCGGTAGGCAGTGACGGATTAGCCCACAAGGAATTTAAGCAATTGCTTAGGGCATCACGTCTTTGGGGGCACTAGAAACAGCACCAAAAATGCACAGCGGAACGATCTGTTTCGAAATTAAAAATATTAAAAAATGAAAGGAAAGGCTCAATGCATTAACAATATTATATACAGGGTATTAATTTGAAAAGGAACGGCATTTAATATTGCCTCTACCAATGATAGCATTTTAATTTTTTTGTCACACCTCACAAATGTGTGGAATGTATCTACCATCTCAATTTAAATAATGCAACTTCTTAAAACGAGTTGCGTTCACCGCCTCACAGCATTTCATTTAAAAATTAATTTTCCTAAAAATACCACTTTCCAAATTCTTTTATTTATTTGTTTACGTTTCGCCACTACAAAACATGAAATAATTTAACATTTTTATACGTCTTCAAACAAACAAGATTCTCGTTTTGCTTAGTACTGATATTATTTATCAGTGATAAGTACAGTTCTATATTTTCTGACTCGTGGTGTTCATTTTATTTTTTTGCTATTTTTATTTAGTGAAATAGGCTGTGAAAGTTATTTACATCATACATAAATAATTTCAAAAGTTTTGAATTGTCGTTTCTTAAGTTGTAACCGTTTCTTACTATTGTTTAACGCGTACAAATGATTTTTATTTACAGAGCCCAAAATCGTTGATTTGCAAGACACGGCGACCATATTTAACGAAGGACATCCGAAAATAAATGTTGGGCACAAGTACATCCGTGAGTTTGTAGCTAAATTTAAAGATACTAGATATGTTTGCAATAAAAAAAGGAATGTGCCAATATTGCTCATTGAGGCTCTTGGTCAACTTGCATGGCTCCAACTACGACCCGTCGTGAAGTTGCACAACAAACTTGACTGACGTATGAGTCAATCAAGAAAGTATTAAAGCTTCATAAATTTCATTCATACAAACTGCTAATCACTCAATAATTAGAAGATGGTGACCTGGACAGACTGAGTTTTGCGAAATTATGAAAAACATGTTTATTAATCAGCCCATGTTAATAAAAAATATATGTTTCAGTGACAAATGCAGTTTTTACTTAAATGACAAGGTCAACAAACAAAACTGCCACTTCAATCCACACATTATTAGGGAGGGGTATACGCGATGTCCTCAAAAAATAAATGTTTGAGCGGGTATATCAGGCAATACTATTATCGATCCCGTCTTCATAAATGGTCAAATGTATGCCGAAATGTTAGACAAGCTATGGAACGTATAATTCATGAAGTAGAAAATCAAAGGGACGCCAATGGAAATTTGCTCTGAAATTTGCTCCAACAGAACGGAGCACCTCTTCATTATGTACGCCCAGTAAGAGAGTGGTTGGATAATTATTATCCAAAGCAATGGATTGGTAGGAGGGGACCCATAGAGTGGCCACCTAGATCACCAGATCTGACACCGCTGGATTTGTTCCTTGCAGTCACTTGAATTTCATTGTATTCAAAACCAAACCAGACTCGATTAAACAACTACAACAAAGAATTGCACAGTAGTGTAGAGCTATTTCTCAACACGTACGAGAATAGAATATCGGATGTATTTGTACTTACAACACAGTGGAAAGGTATGTCATAAATTCTTCCTCAGATAGATTACCAAAAAATAAGTGGATTTGGCTATATTTTCCTACATCAAAAACTGACTCCTAACAAAGTTACAGGGCGTTAAACTAACATTTAAAAAACGTTTTTTATTGTAAAAAGTTTGCTGTTGCGATTTTTTCTTTAAATTTTTTACCAGTGCTGTAGATTTGAAAGCACAATATTCTAAAGAGAAAAAAAATTATAGCGACCCCTTTAAAAAAATTGGGGGGTTGGGTACCTTTTAACTCCACCGTATTTTTTTTGACATAAAGAAACTTGCTTTGTTGATCTTAAGATTTGTTAATAGTGATTGTCTTTTAAAAAATTTAGGAATTTAGGAGTAGGTGCCCTGGAGGTCAGGGGATTGAAATGCCTCAACAATTATCTCTATTGATATGGAAATTAACATGTTTCGCCAATTTTTTATATTATCATTGGTAGAGGCAATATAAAATAGTGTTCGTTTTCAAATTGACACGCTGTATTGAGTCGATATGCTAAAAACGTTGGACTAAAAAGTATTTTCCACGAATTGAATGCCCGAAAAAGACGCAAGTCGTATTTCAATAAATAAATAAAAAAATTAATTCACGCAGACAAAGATACGGGCTTAGTATGCATAAATACTTTTCTCATATGCATTAATGCTATAGAGAGGTATTTGAAGAATTAAGAACGAGTCTGAACGCCTTTTTGGTTGCTTTTAAAATAGATTCGGGTTATTTTAAGAAAACAAAAATAGTGCGGAATATTTTCTATTAAGTGATATATTTTATGGTTTTAAATAAATAAGCACAACTGGAATATAAACAGGTGAGTAATTATATAAATTAATAATTATTTTATATAAATATAAATGATTTTAGGTAGTTTGAAAAGCAATCACAAATTGAAGATAATCTAAATATTTAAAGGCTTGAAGAGCTTCTCTTTGGTACCCATGTAAAGCAATGAATTAAGTTTAGTAATTGCTGTAACAACCTATGGTAAGATGTAGTTTACTTCTAGAAATAAATAGTCAAATAAATATATTAAAATCAAAGATGAAACTTCAGATTGAAAGTTGAATGGAAATGAGATTGAAAATCAGCATAAGAGTAAAAGTGAAAGTCTGCATAAGAGGCCTAAAAATATATTGTCAAAAGTAGGACGATAAAAAGTTTAATATTATTATTTTTTTTTATAGGGGTTATTCCTTAAAAATTCACCTTGGATGATGGGTGGCCACAAAGGGGCTTCAGTAGTAAGTTTATATAAAAAAAAGTGAAAAATAAATATTCTGAACATTTATCCACAATGTTAAGATTATTGTTTAGTATTAACACAAAATCTTTTAGTTTACTAAAGAGATTTTTTGAAGAACATCCGCAAAATGCGGGCATGCTTCTTTCTCAGAAAATGTGCCTAATCCAAGAAAGGCAAGAACCACTTTTTTGCTAATATTTGCCTCAAAGTTTTATGAATAAATTAATTGTTTTAGTTGGTATCCTGTTTTCTTCTTTTAATTGATATAAGAGAAATTATATTCTTTTAAGAATTAATGATAAATTAGAAATTAAAAGAAGAGACAAGGAAGAATATGACAATTCTTATATTTGTTTGTTTACAATATTTGAATATTTCTAATTATTATTTTCTTTTATTTTAGAAATAAAATATGGGGGAATCAACTAACCAAAATCATTGGATTCTTCACGAAAAATAGCATACAAAATGTACAGTTATACAAGTATATTTTATTAAATAAAGTTTATTTGGTTTATTTTGACTCTTGAATCGCATTGAGGTATGGACTTATTATAAAAAAAGGTAACTATCATAAATTTTAAATATATTGCTCAGTAAGGTACTTTTAGCCCGTAACACGCCGTCTGGCCCGAACTAGCACATCAAACTTCCGTCTAGGAATCTCGACAGTCACTGTCGTTGATGGTGTAGTGGAAGTGGCACTTTTCTAGCAAACAGGGATGTCTGAGTTCCATCCCCAGCTGCGGCAGGCTTTTTGTCAAATCTTCAAGTATTTGTTTTCACCTTTGGGGTTCGAGGATGGTCTTAATAATTCTTGGGGGGATTTTTGATATTTGTTTAAGAATTTTTAAATTATTCAACAACATATTTAAGATATTTCTGACTTGTCGGATTTCGATATGCGATCTACATATTAAATTTACAAATTTCATTAACATAATAGTTTGTTCTATACAATTTGTCTCAAAAAGTTTTTACCAAATGGAGTTTTTATTATTATTTAGTTTTAAGAAAAAAAATCCTTTCAAAAAAGTACCATTACGAGGGAAGTAAAAAAATGTGAATTTTGTTTAAGAGCAAAGTAGGTAGCCTTATTTTAAAAAATATATATTATATATATTAAATTTTTTTTTTAACAACACGTATGTTCAAATATGAAAACATATCCTCCTGTGAAACATTTTTTTCCCCATGTTTTGTTCGTAGCAAAGTTCGAAGTGAACTATGAAATTAAAGGTCTATTCTCACTATAGGTCAAGCCACGATCAAGTCACAGTCCATTTACGGTCCGATCAAAAATTATTTGTCATAATTTTAATGCTTTTAAATAATATTTCTTTTAAACCGTTCACACATGCCGGTCATCGAAAAAGCAAGCCACGGTCAGGTCACGAGCCGATCATTTCCAACAATATTTGACCGGAACGTGACTGTCCGTTGATGCGCAGACTTTTTAGTGTGGATGCTCAACAACCAATTAGTCAGACAAAAAAGCAGGCTGTCGTCTGTCGGTAGTATCGAAAAGGACAGACTGTATATGTTTAGATTTTTTTAAATGGCTGTTTCAAAAGTTTTTGATGCAACGTAAATAAATCGCCTTCGATTTTTCTCTTTTTTAGCATTGGATGTACCCAAAATCGTCTTTTTCTTTTATGTTTTATATTTCTTGCTGTTCTCTTCCGCTTCCAAAATAAGTGCGATTTTAAATAAAGAAATTGAAAAAACATTTTACCAGCAAAAATACTGTGAAAAAACACTCATGCACGATTGTCTGCTGTACGTTGGAAAAACTGGTCGAATATGACAATGACATGACCCGATAGTGTGAATGCTTTCAAAAAGATTTGATCGTGACCGGACCATAACTTGACCGTGCCTTGTCCGGCTAATGTGCATAGACCTTTAATTGTTTTCACCGATTATTCTAAGCCTATTTAACGGTTTTTGTTTAAAATAATAGATTTGCTACTGTATGTATTAATAAATATTTGCATCTAAGCATATACAGAGTGAAATATTAAAGTTGCACCAAGAAAACAAGTAATTTTGTATTATTTTAAAGTCTATGTAAAAATTATAAACAAGAAAAAGATTAGTCTGTGGAAACCAATTTCAATAACAGTTAGTTCGAATTTTGTTACAAAAAGATAAAAAAAAATATTGTTATGACACAGAAGGCAGCAATTTCATATTTGGGTCAAAATATTGTTTGTAAACAAGTTTTAAAATAATATTTTTTTGTATATTAAAAAAAATCTTTAACCAATCCCATATTTACGGGGTTGCGATGGACAAGTAATGTTATTTTTAACAGATATGTTATTTGTAAACAGGTTGTTATTTCTATATGTTTATAAAATAACAGACCTGTTAAAAATAACACAGGTTGTCAATCATAACCCCCTTATTTATTTCCTTCGTACATGTTAATTTTTTTATCACAAATAATTTTATCTCAAAAATAAAAAAGTTTTTTCCATATACCTAGTATAAACTGTATTTAAGAAACTATGTATTGTAAAATTTGTAACTTTTGTTTTTCCTGCTTTGTTTCATAATAAATCTAAAAAGCTATTCAATTCAACGATGTATAATCATTGTTTACATCTCCCTTTACAAATACACTAAAATGCCTCCCATTCGTTCACTTCCGATGAAATAAAATCTGATGCTGCACAATAAACTCAAACTTCCTGAGCAAAAAACAAACTTAAACTGTTTTCACCCTAGTAATTATATCCCTTAGCCGCGACATAATATACCCCCATGAGCATCTAGATTTCCCCTATGTAACATTAACTAACCATAACTTCGTCTAATAGGCGTAACCGTATAAAAAAACTTCACCATCTACTTATTGTAAATACGGCATTAGTCGAACCAATGTAAATACATAAATTTTACGTCAGTGGCGGTCGTCGAAGGCAACCATGAAGAATTGGTAAAGAAAATATTTTATAATTTTTGTGGTTTCAACAACAATTAGTAGAAGGTTATAAATTAACCACCGATATTGTATATCGTTACCCTAATTAGCAAATCTCGTAACTTCACTTTTTGTCAAATTCACATTAAGAGAAAAAAAACCTCTATTGCATGTTTCAAACTAGAATCCTAAAACTAGAATAATTGGTTAATTTCTTATTTAACATATAGCAAACCTCTTAACTCCAGTGGTTGATTTCCTTAGTTGGCAGACCTGGTAACTCCCAGCTGCTATGTTGCTGTATATTATTACAGTTCAAGACATGTTGTTATCTTAACAGGTCAGTAATAATTTTCTTCTTTTCCATACAAATAAACTAATATTTGAAAAGTAAGCACTCAGAAATATTTTTTAATTTAGTTATACTGCAATGTTTACTTTATAAATTCTTAAAACTGTGTTGTATTATTATTATTATGGAGTCAAGAGGTTAGCATGTTTTCAGTTTTGAGGTTATGTTTGATATATTGTGAAGTTAAGAGTTTTAATCATAAGTTTTCAGTGAAGCATTGAGTTAATTTTATCGTTTATCGTACTATTTAGGTCCTATTTTATTGAAAATTGCGTATTTTCAATTTGAATGAATGATTATACACGTCTCCATTAAGTGATTTTTTTAAGTGCCTGTCTCTATCTGAAATGTTATTTTTTTTTGTATTTAACTTATAGTTTTAGCCTTATAGTTTAATCAGCAAGTAGTTACTTTGAACTTTACTCAGAGGTGAAAAGACTGGCCCTTAGTGTAATTTTTTTACTAAACAGTACAAACAATACTAAAAATTCTGCTTTTTAAATTATAAATCGTGTTTTAGCTTTAACAAGCTGTTAAGGCCTTCCGGTACTGAAAACAGCTTAAATATGTCACTTCATTTTTTTGGGGAGGCGAGATGGGTTTTCATAACAACAATACCAAACGCCATCGCTGTTTTTTTTTAGAATGTCAAGGGGACAGAAATTAGTGGACTTGGCTTTGCATTTATCTATGATGACTAGTCTTCATAGTTCATACACCGATCAACTTTGACGTTTGTTTTCAACATCGACGGTTACTTATCTCAAGTTGATGAAAATCGTAGCGAGTTCTCTATAGAAGTCTATAGAAGTAACGCCTGTTAAACAAGCTCAAGAGATTGGAAATCATAATTACAGTGTGTCTGGACTAAATTTGTCAGATGTAATCGCTGACATAGAAAAAAATTATGATTTATCCTCTTACCTAGATTTAGAAGACATACAGGCACCGGAATTTGACTTAGATACAGTTAATCACTCAGGCCAAATTACAAATCCGGATGTCGTTCCTGAGCAAGAAAACCTACCTGAAATGATATAAACCCTGCTGTAATTTTTTTTATGTATTTTGGAAGCTTGACTGGCAGGAGGAAAGAGTATTTGTAAAATTTTTGACACACAAAACTGAAACAGCAAGAGGTCGAAAAGATGATACAAAAAGCAGGAGGAAGTATTCTTGTAAGTATAATTTGAAAAAATCAGAGACCATCAAGGACAATGTTCCAAAAGACACTGTCGATTGGGGAGTGGATAGCATTTAATTAACAAGGTAAAGAAAATTATTTAGAAAATAAAGAAAATGTGAATAAGGTTGATGAAAATATTGTTTTATAAAAACGATTGGTGTTCTCAGAAAAATGTAGATTTGCTTTCTCAGAGTATATTTAATTAATCGTTTGAAGACCACAACTTAGCTTTGTTTAAGCCGAAAAAGATGCGTGTGATAAGTGTGAATCATTTAAAAATAGGAAATATGAGTAAAGAAGACTATGAAGCTTATATTTTAAGAAAAGAAGAAGCTAGGCTAGAGAAAGAAGTATATGAAAAGAGAAACGACTGTTTAACGTTGTTGCTGTCTCCTAGGTCACACGTGTTGGCGCTGTACTATAAAATGAAACTTGTCGCACACAATTTTACAATCTACAACTTAGGTACACATGAAGGCTTTTGTTATCTTTGGAACGATACTGAGGGTGGCCTAACATTAAATGAGTTTGGAACAATTATGTATAAGTTTTTACAGTCACAACTCTGCCAGAATGAAAGACCATAATAATTCTGTACAGTGATGGATCTGCATACCAGAATAGAAGCACAACTGTAACCAAAGCTTTGTTCCACTTTTTGTGCATAAATCAAGTTACTGTGGAACAAAAGTTTTTGGAAGAGGGTCATACCCAAATGGAGGGTGATTTAATGCTCCCTTTGTCTTAGTGAAGGCTCAAAAATGTCCCAGCCGATTAAATAAATGTTTGTAGAAAAGCCGGGAAAAATCCAGCTGAGTACAATGTCGAATATTTAGATCACACATATTTTAAAAATTTTGAGGCTCATCTATTCTTCAAAAGCGTTAGACGAGGCAAAGTTGTTGGTGACATATGTATTACAGATATTCGCGCTTTGTAGTATGTCCCTGATGGAACAATTAAGTTCAAGATTAATGTTTCAGATGAACGAAAAAATATAAAAGTAGAAGTAATAACAATTGAAAATTTACCAAACTTGTACAATGAAAGGCTGGCAATAAAACAAAGAAAGTATAATGACCTGCAAGATCTGAAATCAATTTCGGCAAAAGACCACGAGTTTTATCACAATATTCCATTTATAATAGTACTTGCACAATGGTTTTGAACACAGTAAAGTAGTACTTATTTTTATAACGTAATTAAAATGTCATTTGTTCTGCGATGAGAATTTTGTTTTCTTATTATTACCGCACCAATTCTATTTATTAGGATTTAATTACTTATAAAGAGAAACTCCAATAACTATTGGCCCCCAAAAAAGTTCCTAATATACAAAATGGTTTTATTTATTAACAATGTATGAAATCAATGTAAAAAATTAATTTGTCGTATTTTTAAAGATTTTTAAGCGTACATAAAATTATAAACATATTTTTTAAGCTCCTGAAAAGTTAGGTGTTTTTGAGTTACGAGGTTTACTAATTAGGGTAACAATATACAAAATAATATTTTAAATAAAAGTTGTGTAGCTATGTTTGAATTTTGTTAAAAGACAGTAGAATGCAGATTTCATGCAATACAAAAAAATTGTATATTTTTTAAAAGGGATACCATCTAAAATATTTTTAACAGGTATTCTCTTCTGTATTCAATAAGGGATACTACAGCTTCAAAATAAAAACGTGCAGTTTTTGTAGATTTCATAAAGCCCAGACATTTACGTATTAGAGTTTTGAAAAACTTCTATATAACTTCTTCTGTAAAGGATTGATGATTAATCCACACAAAATACACCAATAGTCCATTTCGGAATCTTATATTAGATTGGGGCCCCAGAGCCTAACATCATAACTTTGATGGGAATGAAACAGAGCGAAGTAAAGTGTCCTTAAAGTAGAGGGACTTATTTTATGTTTTAAATGTCTGAGAACAAAAATTAAACTAGACAATTTAGTTATTTTATATGATGCCATCAATTCAGTTTTTCATCGATCGTAAAAACTAATGACACTAGTGACACTATTGCCATTCTGTAATGACTAATACTTTACAGAGTTCATGATGAGTTTGTTAGAAACAAATCAGTTTTCAGCTTTTTTTTTAATTTCTGTTGATTTGTCCAATAGAGAGTGAAAATGGTCAGAATAGTACAAGAAAATAGTATCGTCAGCAAAAAATGTGCTTTTATCTATTATCATTTATATATTAAAAATAGCAATGGCCCCAAAACGAAACCTTGCGGTACACCGTGTTCTATTTATCTAAATATGGGAATATCATTATTACATACAACAGTTTGAGAGCGACCAGATATAAAAGTTCGTATGAGTTCCAAAGAGATATCTATTATGCCATAATATGTAAGTTTGTCCAGCAGAATATCGTGGGATATAGAATCAAAGGATTTGGACAAATCACATAAAGGTATACCTACATGATATACTTTTTCAAGGTCCTCCAATGTACATTTCGCAACATTTATAGCTGCTTGTGTAGTCGAACAGTTGGTCCGAAAACCAAACTGAAATTCAGTAAAAACATAATAACCATTAGATAAATAAAAATGTAAAATAAAAAATGCAACAAGTAGGTATATAAATAATTAGAACTATAACTTAACTGTATCTTACATGCTCAGAGTATGCCAAAAATCTAATCATCTCACCGTGTGATGGATTAAATCTTAAATTTAAAATTTGGTATTTTCCTCTTTATTCGTTTCTGAGTTATCGTGGATAGAAGATACAGGCAAACAGAGAAACTTAATCGCAAAAATGGTGAAATGGATTAAGGAGTCCCCAAAATGTAAAGATCAATCGAAACTCGTTAAAAGTTAAAAGAATCATGACTTTCTTTACTGGATACAGAAAAGTAAAAATATTTCTAATTTTCTTTCCTTTTGGAAATGGATACGATCACCACTGTATTGTACATTCAACATCCCATAAGTATAACCTTAACAATAATGGTTATTAAAAGATGTTAGTCCTTTAGTGGCAATACGTATGGTTTCCTTATTTGATTTTGAGTCGTAAATTATAAAAAGGGTTACGAATAATTTCGTATGCGTGTTTGTTCGCTATTCACTATTACGATTTATGTCGTTAATATGCAATGGGTTTGTATTCAAACAGGCGCCGGTTTGGTTAAGGCGCTAGATTAAAGAGAAGGGAATCATTTGAATATTTAATTATTGGTGCATTTTATAAGTGAATTATATCCCCACTATCGTGTTCTATGTTACGCAGCTGTCAACATTTTAACCCCAATGTCTAAAATAAAAATAGGTTCATATATCATGCATTTCAATTTAAGAAAAATATATTGAAATTAATTTGTTTTGTCGTCTAAGATTGTAACCCATACATAATGTGGCTTTTGGGAAACATATGATAACTCCAAAATTATTATTGCACATGATATATTGTAATTGGATTTTGCCAAAAAAAAAATCATTAAAGTAGACAACGGTATTTTATCAAACTAAACTCTTGGACCAAATTAACGCAACATCATAAATATGCCACATTTTTGATGCTTTTTTGAATTTATGATCCGATTTGAATGATTTTTTTTGCATTATAGGTTGGTTCCTTGACAATGTCATAATTTTCGTTGTTTATGATAAAAAGTTCCTTTTCGATTTATACCGGGTGTAATAAAAATATCATGTTCTTCTTCGAAAATTCGTGTGAAGTATACTAGCAACCGAAACATATAGCAGTTGACATTAGACGGTTGGTCCATCTTTCGCCAACATTTCCTTTTTTGTTTACTTCATTATCTCTGTTATTAAAGGAGATACGCCTTTTTATAGCGTAACATGTTTTAATAGACTTTATTATTCAAAACATTCGTTGTTAAATGTTTTCAAGTGGGCTATGGACCTTTTCTGACATTTCAAGCGATGTGTCAATATCGAATACATTATTTTTTATCTGAATAACTGTATAATTTCTGCTCGCTTTGATAAATGAAAACAAAATTAAGAGTTACTTTATTTAATAAAGTAAAATTGAAATTATAATAATTGTGAGTTATTAAACACAATTTTTTTTGAAACGAGTGAAAAATGAAAAGAACAAAATCGAAAACAATAAAATTAATGGATTTATAATGTTAATAACGTGTATGCCCACCTCTACTTCGAATCACTGCATTCATACGCCTCGGCATACTGGAAATTAAATTTGTAATTGTATCTTGGAGAATATGCTCCGATTGGGCAATTACTGCAGCCACCAATAATTATTGTGGTTAACCGATACAGGATTGCGACTTTGAATGTTTCTTTTAAAAGCATCCCAAAGATGCTCTATGGGATTTAAATCGAGACTTCAAGGTGGTCATTTCATCAACAGAATAGCTACAGAGTTCATGTACTCTATAACTTGTCTAGCCACGTGGGGACGAGCATTATCCTGCATAAATAAACTATTTGGTCCCAAAAAAGGAACAAATGGCATTACATGTTCAATCACAATGTTCTCCAGATAATAATCGGCGTTTATTGATCTTACACGTATAGAGACTAACTCTGTGCGTCCATTCGAGCATATTCCTCCCTAAAACATTACAAAGCCTCCATGAAACGGAGATATATTGCAACTTGCAAATCTCTCTTCTGCCCTTTGCTAAACACGTTTATGCATATCAGGAGAATTGAGACTAACTATCGTTTCATCAGAAAATAAAACCTTCTTCCAATCATTAACGGTTTAATGTTGATAATTTCTGGCAAAACGCAATCTTGCAACTCTGTGCTCTCTGGTGAGTAATTGTTTCTTTGCCGGTCTTCTGTTGCTTAAACCCTCCCTGATTGTTCGAGACGATATTTTTTGATAGCGAGCAGTTCTAAGCTCACTATTTAGCCTAGTACTAGTGATCTTCCTGTTTGCCTAATAAAACGTTCATCCCCTGAATCGGTACATCGTTTTTGTTCTTTTCCTGACCTTCAAGAGTAAGATCCTGTTTAGTTAAATCGTTAAACCATACAACTTATAGTCGAACGATATCTTCCTATCACATTAGCAACATGACACATCGAATAGCACTCATCCACCAAAGTTAAGGCTCTTACTGCTTCTTCTGCCTATAAATTTTTTGGATGATTCATTTTTCAAGATTAAAATACTCGTCGGGCAACTGGGCATACGAAACGAACGTTTAATAAGCAGTTTCTGAACAGTTTTTATCAGTATGGCGAATTTTATTTGACCTTTGTAACTTTAAAACTTAACATGGGTCAACTTTCGTTTAGCCGAAATCAGATACGTAAAAATTGTTGCCATGGCAACCAGTAAACAAAAACCCAAATCTCGTGGTGAGGAAATGCATAGTTGCCAAGTTATAGAATATTTAATGTTCACTTTAGTTTATGTTATGGTAAAACTGTTGCCATGGGTACGCTTGACATAGAAACGACTAAACAAAAAGCCAAATCCCATGGTGAGGAAATACGTAGTTGCCAAGTTACAGTTGATTTAATTTAGCTCTAATCGGTTACGGAGAAACTCTTGCCATAGAGACACTTGTCATGGTAACGACTAAACAAAAACCCAAATGCTGTGGTAAGAAAATGCATATTTGGCAAGTTACAGG